CTTTAGTGGAAAGATAAGACTACCCAAAACTGTTTGCACAGACTCAAAGCAAGCCTCAGCAGTGAGTCCCCAGCCTCCCATGCTCGAATGGGACAGTTTTCTCACTGGGCACACGGAGCCATTTAGGAACATGGAGGAGGCTCCAGGAAGAGGTGCAGAAACAGGGCAACAGCTTTGAGAGGAGGAAAATCAGCCTCAGCTGCAACCAACCTCTCCTGAGCAGCAGGGCACTCGGGCAAATGCCTACACAGCGGCTCCATGTGCCAGCCCCACATGCCACCACAGCACCTATGAGGCTTTTGGGGCTGCAGGTTGCCATCACCCCTCAAAACTTCTCCCACCCAGAGGTCCACCACACACCCTTGCCCTTCATCTACGCAAGGAAGGCACCCAATGCACCATGGTCCTCCTGCTATCCGATACTCTGTCATCCACCATGTTCCCAAGTAGTTCAAATACGAGGAGCTTAGACGCCTTCCAGAGGTGTCTCCTCCTCTGGAATTCATTTGACATAGGTGTGAATAAAGCCATACTGTTTCCTCACACGCTGTAAAGCTCATTTGCCCAGCCAGACCTGTCAAGAGCAGCACATGGGATGAGCTTCCTCTTGATGTAACAGCCTGACTATGGCTACTGGAAGTGCAGGAACTTGGATGCCTTCACAGAATCTCACCAGCAACATAGAAGCTTTCCCTCTCAGCACAGCACATGTATTTCCCAAGAGATGAAGGGAGAAGCTGCTTCATACTTCACCTCAGGAAATAAATAAAAAGGTAAAAAAAAAAAAAAAAAGTCCTGCCTAAACCCAGGAATTTTGAAAGCATAAAAGCTTTTGAGACCATAAATCCAGCTCGCTTCATATTCTATCTGACAGTGCCCAACAGCAACCGCTTAAGAACAAAAGGACACCTGCATGATTCTTACCATACTATATGCTTCTTCCAGGTTCAGGCAATGACTGAAGACCTTCCACTTGGCCCATTGTGCATTAAGCACAGATGGACCTATTCTCCATGATTTTACTTGACTTCTCCTCCTTCCCCACAAACCCTTTCCAGCTTTCCCACCACCCTTACTGTCTTCTACAGTAACTACATACTCTGTGAAACCCTCTGCTAGCGCCGTTCTCACGTTAGCTTTGCTGTTACAGATGCCGAGGCACAGAACTGAGGTCAGCGCGAACAGCCATGACTTGTCGTGAGCAAACAGTCACGATAATGGATCCAGGGCTCCTGACTCTCCGTGCAGTACTCTCCTCACAGCCTCTGCTGCATCAGGAAACAGAAACCAAGCCCACTGCTCAAAAAGAGGAAGAAAAGATCCCTAAGGATGTAAAAAAACCAATACAATTAAAAAAAAAAAAACAACTTGAAACTTTGGCACTTCACTGCCCGAAGAGGTGGGGCTGGCCTCCTGTGATAAACAAGGAGAGGGGAAAAGGTGTTCGTCAACTAAGTATAGAGAACACCGGAAAAGAGGGAGCAAAAGGAGCCTGAAGAACTCTTGGCACACCATGCTGGGGGTTTAAGCCAACGAAAAACCGAGAAGTTCTGTTGAAGCTGATGCTGAGGGACCAGCTCGCTGTCTGCACAAAGCAGTGGGAGTGAGCAACGGGAATCAGCACAGCTGCTCCGCGCCCGATGTATCCAACCGGGGTGGAAATCCCACCATATGACTTCGGGGATAACGTTAAATCCATTACAGCGTTCTCCCCTTCCCTGCTCATCCCACACAAGCTTCAAAACTTGTGGTTTATGACTGGCTGCTAGAAGATCAGTGCAGGCTGTCTCTGGAGGGATAATCCTAAATTTTAAGTGACAGTTCATGGGCATCTTCTCTTTCTTCTGAAATGCTGTCTTACACAGCACATTAAGTATTTTGGAGATTAATAACTGGAGCAAAGAGTTCTAATCTTGGTGTCCTAGTGGAGATTTAGCAAAGAACAGTTAGTGTTTGAAGTTGCCATGGCACAGGAAACATAAGAAGCCTTGAAGGCCAAAAGCAAGGCTCGTACGCAGCTCCAACGGAAATCTGGGACGTGAGACACGTGATCTATGTTTAGTCTCCAGGGCTTCTCACTGACGTGGTGTTTCCACTCGGAGCAGGTCTTAGGGACCCTGTGAAAGGTGGAACCCAGTTTGAGCTCTCTTTTAGTTTAAATAGACCAAGCTCACCGCGCCTGTTAAATTGCAACTTGTACTTTTGTATTCTTTGACCTGAATTAGGTGACAACTGAATTGTATAATAAGGTTACAGGTTGCTTTGAACTTAATACACCGAGGACCAAACGGGAACCACTTGACCATCTCTGAACTGGCAATTGCACTTTGTCAGCTTGCAGGACACTTGCCAGGATAAACACACGACAGATTTTGAGGCTGCTCGCACAGCAGCTCACTCAACAGCAGCCCCATGATCACTTGGCAAAGGCCCTCACAGCATCAGTTCAAGTTTCCTGTGCATAGAAGGAGCTTTTTTTTTTTTTTTTTTTTAATTATTTTCCCCAGTAAACAGTTTTCTCGTTGTAATGATTCCTCCTACTGCTCCTCACACAACCAGAAGTCCCATTAAAAAGGAACAAAGCAGGTGCCTTGTTGACCTGCTCCCCTCTCAGGGGGCATAAGCCAATGCGCAGAACAGCCCAAGCCCCTTCTGGGTTTGGTGAGCCCTGCGCCAATTATACGGAAAACAACGAAATTCTGCACACGGGTATGAGAAAACCTTGCCACAAGTGTCACAACAGCGGAGCTCCACAAGGACTCCAACCAACGCCACTGTCAAAACTAACGCCGTTGCGTCCTCCTGCCCTCGACACCACGCGCTCCTTCCATTTTTCTCCTGCCAGCACCAACGCTCACGTAGCGCCACAGCAAATCATACTGAGGAACTGAACTCCAATGGGCAACATTAATCCCATTTTGCAATGTTCACGCTTTTCATGGTGCTGCTCCAAGCAACTCAATACCCACCAGCACCTTCAGAACAGCCTGTGATGTGATCATGTTGACAAGTTCGTTAGTTACTCCAGCCATCATGGGGATAACGTAACAAATTAACAGCTAACGTTTAGGAGATGATAAAATGATGCTTCCTTGAAGCTGTTTAAGTAGCTGATCTGGCATCTCTGTACAGAATTAGACAGCTCTGCTTTGAATTAATGCAAGTGAAGTGGTTGGCACCATTTGGCCAAACATTTAAAAGTAATATAACCATCCACTACAGATGCCCTTTTAGGCCTTCGTTCTGCAACAGTTTTACACACCCTCTGATCCATTTAGCAACCAACACCAAGTACCAGAACAGATTTCTGTCTCCTGAGTAGCCACTCTGCCACGATAGCTAAAGATGTGTGAGAAACAGCAACGGGACATCATGGACTCTGCTCCAGGTCACGGATATGAAGGGAGATCAGAAAAGACACGTTGCTGTTTCAGCACAGCACGTTTTTCCACATTCTTTATCACCCACAGAATTGCCTTAATGGTCCTGAAAATGAGCACACCTCCAGGCAGCTAGGGACAGGATCAACAGTCCAACTGGAGGTTACCGAAGGCAGCAAGCTCCCTTTTCCTCCTGCCCTGCCCAATAGCGCGTTCAGACCAGGGCAAAGCACCACCCCTCCCTCGCACGCTCCCTGAGGAATGTGTGACCGCAGGACCTCCTACATGCAGGTGAGATCTCCGTGTCTGAGAGCAGATTTTTCCTTTTTTAAGCCATAGATCTGGGCAATAGTTTTTGAGTCCAGAAACGTTATCACATCCTGTGGCAAACTCCTCACTTCAGCACCAACAAGCACCTCGTGTTTGCTCTGAATCTGCCGGATGACAACTTGTCTTGATGCTCTGTAGCCCTTGGAGACAGTAAGCCACCGCCTCTTCACCTTCTTTAAACCAGTTATGGTCTGGATACTTCCCCCATAGTCTTACCTTTTCCAGTCTAATGGTTTACAGCTCCTGCCAAACTGATGGAAGTCTGCTTAGGTTCCAGTTCAGCATTTAGTATTGATTATTCTTTTGGGAAAGCAACAGCAAGTTGGTCAATGGCAGAACTGAATCCCCAGCCAGATTTACGCTAAAGTACGTTGTGCAGCAGGACAGGGGCCTGGCTGCAGCCCCGCACTTTTCAGGAAGGTACAACCAATCAGATACACCCTTATTGCTCTACTCTTTGAACAGGCCAATACACTGAAACACCTAAGTTAGCGGTAAAGCAAAAAGTTTGCTTTATTGCTAAAACAACTTTTTTATCAAAAGTCCCACCAGTTGAGAGCTGCCTTGCTCAGCCACCACCCTTGTAAAACCCCTTAAGGGCTGCACAAGATTTGGCAGTTCTTCCAGACCGCACTTTCTGGAGGGTTCTGTCTTTATTGCTGGGCAGTGCTTTATCTGACCAGGTCTCCAGGCTCAACCAAGAGATCAATATTACTGACATAAACAAAGTCAAAAAGTATCTGAAACCCTACTGCTTATTCGGCAGTGGTTTAGCAGAAAGTGTGTGGCAGGAAGGAACTCAAACACCATGAGAGCGCAGGAAGCCTCAGGAGGAAAGGCACAGATCAGCCCCTCCGGCCTCCAGCAGCAGAGAACATGTCCTGACCAACATGTCCTGACAAACGCTCGCTGCGACGAGCGAGGGAGACGCCTGCTGGACTGACTCGCTTGATACAAGCTTTGATCCAGCTTCCGGATCATGCTATAAAAGCAGTATAAAACCAGTACATTTTAATTAAATAATAATTAAAAAAAAAAAAGCTGTAAAACACATACTCTCAAAAACCCCTGAGTCTTTCTATGAAAGTTTCTAAGACGGTATTTTTCTCTGGAATGCAATTCTGTTGTGTTCCTCCTTGCCGACACACGCTCCCGTGCTTTGCACGAGCAGCACTAAGCACCGCAAGCGCCACAACCGTGCCAGCTGCCGCCCCAGCGCGGCTTGTCCTCCTCGTTCCAGCGACTGGATGAGAAGCTGGGTGCCCTCCGAGCAGCCAGCAAGGCTCTGTGCACAGCTCACCCTGCGCCCCAGTAACTCTTCCGTGCTCAGCGCTGCCATCTCCACCCGAGGCCCTGACACAGGCGCGGTGCTACGCCTGCTCACAAGGGTTGCCCGTGCTGGATGTCAGCGCTCTGCTGGGTGCCAACCCCTCTGCTGTCCGTGGTGCCTGCTTTGGAAGGCGAATGGGGACGTAGACATTTGAAGCACAGTGTTCCTTCAGGTATTCTCCCCCTTTTTCTTCATAGTCTTTTCTGGTTATCCAGCCTTCCTCACGCGTCATGTGTTCCACTGCCCAATCCCTAGCCCCATACCAGGCATCTAAAACAGGACTGGAAGCAAGGTGAACCTGGATGGAAGGAACAAAGAAGAACAATGTCAATTCAACACAGGAGAGAAAAGCCCTTTTTTACCCTGATTACAGGGGTCTATGAAGCAAACTACCAAACTCCAG